ATATGATGCCCTAGGACCAATGGCCAAACGAGGATATGACTCAGCACCTCAAAAATAAAGTGACCAACAGGACTTAGTCTGATCTCCTGTTGTCATCGTGCTTAGCAAAAGTACTAATCTAATGCCTGGCGATCACAAGTGTCAATCATCAGTGAGACGAAAAGGGCAAGATTCTGGGGATTCGAGCAGTGCAAAAGCAACAACTAAAATGGGGCAGTTTCCACTTTCACGCTCTCGTACGTAAGTACTCCCTGTGAACTTACCAGTTGCAGGCCTTGCACCCTTTTTTAAGGAAGTTGCACGCCTCTTTGCTGTCACTCGTCAGTTTGCCTTTGGAGGATGGAAGAGTCCATGTGCAGCTCCGCTCTTTTTTATTTCTTTTTTTTAATAACTTGAAGCTCCGCTGATCTTAAATAAATGGTGTACTCGCTCCATCCTAAATTAGTTACACCTGACGTTAAACGAGGGATGGTTAAAATTAGAAGCAAGGTAATAATAGCATTCGTAGTGACCATAATAGTGGTAGTGACCCTCTACCGCTACCACTATAAGATAGCGAACCGAAGATAGCGTGTTAGAACTTAGTGGCCACTATAACGCTTCACGATCGCAATAGCAGCCCGCTATTGACTTTATTGTACCGCTATAATGCTTGAACGATGTTTTTATATATTTAGGGATAGTATATGACTTAGCATCGTGTGCCTTCTTTATCTTATATATTTATATGTATTTCATATATTTGTTTATGTTATGAAATAGGAGTATAGGAGTAATTAAGTGTGCAATCTAAATTCTAAATCTTCAGTTGAACTTGATGTTGATATTGATGTACAATCTAAATTTATAGTTGTTTTTTATAATTCTGCTATTGGAACTTAGCACCCATTATCCACAATCTGCTACCAGACAATTATACGGTATTTATTACCTTGATTAGAAGAGTATTTGGGTAAGATAGAAAGGAATTTGAAGGAGAGATGGTTGGAGAGAAAATGATACTCTAAGATTACATTTAATTTAGGATAAATTTCAATTTTAGAATTGTAGTATTTTTTTTATTTTTGTGATTACTCAGTAGAAGCACACTCGTGCACACCACTGCACACGCTACATCATAATCACACACCCGCAAATGCTCCCTATCACACGCTTAAAGAGATGGAAACCAGCGGCATCCCTAGTCTCACTAAATTCGTATATAAGTCCACTTGCATGTGCGTAAATATTCGTTGGCACCAAAATTTAAATCTTGATAGGCGGAGTCATGCACCCACGGCTCCACCACACCGCCGGTGTTTAGTTTTGAAATTGAGGGCACTCAAATATAAATCACTAGCTTGCAAAAAATCACTATTATATAAAATATTAAGATTTCACATGTTAATCACATTTATTTATATTTTAAAATATATTTATAAATATAATTAGAAAAAAAAACAATGATCACATATGTACTTTGAGACCATGTCAACAATGTACTAGGCAGCAATTAGAAAAGAGAGAAGAGGCTATCAGTTGGAGCGAATTTTTATGACCAGTAGATGCCTTTTCTATTGGGGAAAGGGAAGTAAGTGCAAATATTTCCCGTGATTCAAAAAGATACTCCGTACCGAAGCCATTTAAATATAACATTTCCTTCGGTGCTGGTATGGGTACGCACGCATCACTAATTTCATTATATATATCTTTCTGACTCAATTTAAATATTGGCATTTCCTTGGATGCTGGTATGGGTACGCATTACTAATTTCAGGTGTTTTGTTACTAATTCAATTTTCTTCCAATTTTGTTCATTTTTTAGGAAAATGTATTCGATATTCAAACTACTAATTTAATGATGTGCCGGTCTCCATGATCTCATAAAAACCCTGAGAGACATATGGAAAACCTGTCATTAGAGTATGGAAAAACTGAAGTATTGGAGTATGGTGATGGAATTCTATCATCAGTATTTATATCCAGAATCCTCACATACAGGTACGCTTACATGAGTCACGGTGCATGTACACATAGTATGCATGCTTGTACATCTTCCATGTAATAGAGAGATACAGAGAAGAGGAGAGGGAGAAAAGAAATCATTGATCGCGAAAATGGGGGCAAAAAGACGACCAGAGCATTTAACTGGGCCTTTCTCTTCTAAGTGGGCTTGGGCTGATGTGCTGTGCGTGTTCAGTTAGGCCGGGTTTGGAGTGCAACTCGAGAAGGCCAATTTGTTTATGGGCTTCGTGTAATTTGGGCCCAATTTCTTGCCCGAGTACTAGTCGTCCACTACCACTGTACTTGTACTACTTTGAGTTCACAAGGTGATGGATATTAGCTGGGCCTGGTTCAAGATTTATGTCAGTTTTTCGTTTTCTTAGAGGAATTAGAGGGTGTCATTTTTATCAGCGTAATGAAGGACCGAACTGAATCTGATTCTAGTTTAGAAACAAACGAGGAATTAATTAAGTTGATCAGTAACGCGTTGCTTCTGTCAGCTAAGAAAGAACCAAAAGGAGAAGACGAAGTTGCACCAAGTAATTAACGCCGGCCGTAATGTTAAGTTTACGCAATTACGCGGTTCGTTGGCCGCACCTCCTTGTTAGACGTATAAACACACCTTGAAAGCCGGAAAAACTCGCGACCATCATACGCCCAACAGCACGTTATTTTTTTCGTGGTCTTTTACGACGTTGATGTGCAAGCCGATCGATCGACTTACTATCTGCTTGTCTAGCTAGTGATCAGGCACTACATACAGATCACCGACCGGCGACCGGTTCATCGTTAATGTGCGAAAAGCCAGAGACACTGTGCATGGACATGTAGATGTAGACATGCAGTAGCCAAGTAGGTACAGGTATAGCCTACAGAAGGGGTTCAAATTAATGTTCAATCGAGCTGGGTTCACAATCTTATAACCTTGTTCGGTTTGAAGGAAATTGAACGAGATGAAGAGAAAATAATTTCACATGATAACGACAGATATGGAATAAATACTCTATAAATCTCTTTTTATTAACCCCATAAGACTTATCAGAGAAATCCCATGTAGTAAGTCCATCAAGAATTAGCTCTTTTCTTACAACAAAGTTTCGTGTAGATGAGCTGCCTTCTCCTGTGACACCGATTCCTGAATGAGGATAACAATATAAGATTGCTACATAATAGGAAGAGAGAATTTATTCTATACCACTGAGTTTATTCGAGTTCAACGATTTGCCATCGATATTGTCTCCTTCTGTAAAATACCTACGACTTTATCAATTGTACGTTCTGCAATATACCATTGGGATGGACATTATTTTCAAAAATACCCAAAATACCCTTATAGACATATAAGGTTAACAGTTGATTTATTCTATTAGAAGTTTCAAAAAAAATGAAAATTTTTATATGATCTCCTTACACAACATGAAAGTTTGTATAGAAGTTTCAAGTTTTTTACATTTATATCTTTTACAGAATATATAACTTATTTGTTATATGCTATATAAAATACTTTTTTATTGATGTTTTTAATATAAATCATCTTTCATACACTACATAAGATATTTTTGTGCTATTATCTCTTATATAAACAAATTTTCTCTCATATACCACATAAAAATATTTTTTTTCTAAAAACTAAATATACCAGAAAAAACTTGAAACATTATACAAACTTCCATGTTGTGTAACAAGGCCACATAAAACTTTTCATATTTTTTTGAAACTTCTAATGAGATAAATCAATTGTTAATCTTGTATGTCTCTAAGGATATTTTAGGTATTTTTGAAAAAAAAGGCCCAACCCAATAGCGTATTGTAGAACAATTGATAAAGTCGTCGGTATATTATAGAAAAAAAACAATGTCAATGACAAATTGTTGAACTCGAACAAACTCAGTGATATAGAATAGATTCTCTCTAATAGGAATGCAGGATAGCTATATATATATATATATATATATATATATATATATATATATAGGTGCTTGATAGAGTTGTCCCTGTTCTTGGTTTTTCGCTGTGTGGATAAACAAAGAGATTAAGATAGTGTGGGGGGGGGGGGAATTTTACTCTTTTTTTGCATGTCGGTTCATAGCTTCTTAATCTGATTTCTTGATAGAAAAGGATCAGTAGTTTATATTCTTTTTCTATTACCAGTAGACAACACTGTAGCGGGATTTGTGCAATCCCTACAACCTAGTCGCTTCTCTCTACAATCCCCATGCGCAAATACTGCCATCCGGCATTTCCCCCCTCATCCTCCTCTTTTGTCACCGCCGCTATGCCTCTACATCAGTGTCGGTACAATTCCACCACTCTAGTCCTGATGTCACTAAATCTGCCAATCATCCTCTTTCATCCTCACGGTTCTAATGCATCATTGTTCGCTTGTCTAAATGATCTTCCACTACCTTGGCCATTCTTATAAAATCACCCTTCCCCTCCCACCGGCCACTACACCTGTACCCCTAATCCAGTAAAATCTAGCAGATCAGTTTTTATGGCATCAGTCCTAAGGCCATATTCATTGTGTGCTATAAATCCAACCACGTAGAAGATAATTGATTATACACGTTGTGGCAATCAAATCAACTTGTGAGAGCTTGAAATCGAACGAATCAAGTTGAATAAAACACCATTTCGTTCCTGGGGCCATAGGCTAATCCATGTGAGACCCACCACACTGAGGCATTCAATCAAAAATCCAAAACTGATGTATGTCAGTTGAATCGATTTTTCCACAGGAGATGCCCTAAGGCTCTTCCAATTTCAGACGACCAATGAATAGCAAAGGTGAATGAAAATTGGGCTTTAGAAATGGATCACAAAATTTGATTTGCTTTGTTTGGGCCGATATTTTTTTTTCACGATTTTAATCAAGTAGGCGATGAGACACGCATTGTCTGGAATTAAAAGTTGTATAATTATTAACTGGGAGTAGTAAAACATTAAGTTCAGTGAAAATATTTTCCGCTGTGCTTCCCGTTAAATTGAAGTCCGGAGAATTCAAGATGCAGCAGTACTATATGTGATAGTTCAACCGTTGATACTATTCTTTGCTCAACACACATTACATCAGACGAGACAACAGAAACAAACCAAAATCAGTACATGCTTATTGCACAGCGAGATGAAATTAACCAAAACACGGCGAGATTAACCTAACACGCTAATTAATAACGAATTAATATTAGTACTAGCCACTTGCACGACAGCCACAGCCCACAGACTAATCAATGTTTTGAGTGCGAGGCTGCGAGCCGCGAGCGTGTGGGCTAGGCTCCTCTCAGCGTTCAGAACTCTACCGGCGTCGCCGACGCCGCCGCCGCTGCCGTCGCCGGCAGGAACATCTCGGTGTCCGTGACCACCTCGGAAGTCAACGACGAGGAAGACGACGACATGGACGAGTTGACCATGTTCAGTATGCTGTTCCAGTAGCCCTTGTCGTCGTCGTCCTCCCCCTGCAGCTCGCCGGAGCAGGCCTCGGTCCTCTCCGCGAATCTCTGGTCGGCGCCGGTGACGGAGCAGTCAAGAAGGACACCGGCCAGCGTCCCGGCTCCGGCAAAGCTCGTCTCGGCGGTGGCGCCGCCGAAGTGGTGCTCCTGGCACGCCTCCCCGTATGATGACTGCACGGCCTGAACGGCGGCGGCGCGCGCGGCGCCGTGTATGTCGGGGGCCGCACTGCCTGCGCCGAACAATGCGCTCTCCGAGAAGCTGAGAGTCGACGTCGGCGAGTCGACCCCGCTTAGCGCGGCCGTTGCCGGCGGCGGCGAGGCGAGCGCCCGCAGCTTGGCCTCCCGCGCCAGGCGCGCCTCGGCCTCGAGCCGCGCGCTCTCCCACTGCGCCGTGTGGCTGAGGTGCGCCGCGGCCCTGGAACGCGCGCCGCCGCCCGCCGCGCCGCCGCCGGCGGCGACGTCGGCGTCGGCGTCGACGCGGGGCTTGTGCGTGACCGGGTCGATGCCCATCCTGGCGAGCCTCTTCTTCAGGTGCGTGTTCCAGTAGTTCTTGATCTCGTTGTCCGTCCGCTTCGGCAGGTGCGTCGCGATCGCCGACCACCTGTGTACGTGCGTCTGAGTGTCAGTTACCTTTTATTTTTTTTCCTGCATTGTTGCAACTGCAAATTCTCTTTTACCACCTGAATCTACTACTCCTATAGAATGCCTAAATGATTGGAGGTGTGTGTGGTGCGTGCAGTGAATTGTGGAGGCGGAGATAGGCAAGTCAACATGGAGATGGACAGGGCAAAAGGCGGTGACAAATGGTCCACTAGCCCTGACACGCATGGTGAGGCACAGCGAAGCCAGCGGGGGCTCAAGGGCTTTAATTGTAAACGTGACTAAGGTGAAACCAAAAAAAGGACCCGGTAGATGGACTCCAGTATTTTTTCACTCTTATCTCACGTACTGTACTCTACATCCATCTGGCTTCGGTGACAGTCGGTACTACGTGTACTGTGTTGCATGGTCGTCAAAGTGGGGAGAGGCTGTGCGGTGCAGAGCACTGCAGTGCAGAGGGAGAGCAGATTCTACTCTCGAGAGAATATCTCCTCGTTATTTGTATGTCATCTAAATAGTTATAAAAAAATTAAAAATATTAACTAGATAGATTAATATGTAATAGAAAACTCCATAAATATGTAAGTTAAAATTTAATTTTTACAGGTTAAAAAAACAAATTAAACTATAACTAGTTAACATATATTCATAGTCAAATTTGTTTTTTTCATGCAACTTGGAAAAGTTAAATTTGACCTTATATATTTATGGAGTAATTTATCACATATTAATATATCTTGTTAATTTTTTTATAACCATTTAGATGTCATATAACAACGAAGAGTATCCCAGGAGAGTTTAGAATAATTTCTTAGTGTAGAGGGCGAAAAGAATGTCGAAAATAAAGCATATGATTCCTGCAGAAGTGCTGCGTACACCTGCACAGCACGAGGCGATGATCACCTGTTTCCGAGGAGCGCGTGGAGCTGGATGATGGTCTGCTCCTCCTGCAGCGTGAACTTGCCCCTCTTGATGTCCGGCCGAAGGTAGTTCGTCCACCGGAGCCGGCAGCTCTTGCCGCACCGCCGCAGCCCTGAATTATGCGTCAACACACGCATTCCCCCAAAAAACCACACCAGTGAGCAATTGGCGGATCGATCAGGCGATTTAGCTAGTTATCAGAGGCCGAAAACCGAGATCGCATGGCACGCACGTACCGGCCTTGGTGGGCAGCGAGCGCCAGCAGCCGTGGCCGTGCTGCTCGATGTAGGCGAGCAGCTTCTGGTCCTCCTCCGGCGTCCACGGCCCCTTCTTCAGCCCGGCCTCCTTCTCGCAGCACGGCGACCGCCCCATCCGCTCCGATCGATCAATCAACCACTCCAAGTCCTCCACTCCGCGAGAGCCGAGAGCTCTTCTTTCCACTGATCGATCGAGTGCAGTAGTGCCCCCCGGTGCAGTGGTTGGGTGGCCAAGGTCCAGACGTCCAGTCCACACAGCGGCATAAATATATAGGCCCCGACGCGACGCTGTAACACTCAGCCAGTCGATCGTATGTTCAGAATCTTCTTCTTGGGGTGGAATTCAGTGAGACCGCGAGGGCGGCCCCACACGTCAGCAGGTACGACGCGAGGGCAGGGTCGGTATTCCGCTCTTCGTTCCAGTCCCGGCACGACCCATCTCTGCCGTCCAGATCAATCCAGTCGCCCGTGCGGTGGAAGTAACACAAGGCGATCGAGTTTTTCTTTCTTTCTTTCTCGGTCGAGCTACCGCTGCGTGTGCCGCCTCTCGTCGTGCGCGCTGCACCGCTGAATTTTCGGTGCTCCCCTCCATATGTTTCCGCCGATTTGCTCGGTGGCCGCGCGTAATCTCCCCGTCATTTCGATCGATCGTGCGTGCGCCACTGTGCTGTAAACGCAAGGTGCAGTCACCGGAATCCAACACACGACAGGCTTTTGTGTATGTTAATGCGATCGGTCACACGGCCATGTTTTATCGATCTCGTCGGATAGCTGCCACATTTTTTTGGGGGTGTTGGCGATGGCCGGTTTACCGTGCCATGAACAAGAGACGCGTCATGACATGTTACTGGTCTGGCCCAGCACTGGCTGGCGTACGGCATGCCCTCTGTTCTGGCCAGGAGTTATGGCGGTGCGTGGAATCAACGCCCCCTTTGCTGCCTGCAGGTGAAAAAGACTCTGTTCCGTCTCACTTGGCAATTGACTCGCTGGACATTTTCGGCAACCCGTTTTACTCATCGGGTTCGGGCCAATCCCATTCAAGGGTTGCAGTTTCGGTCTTTCCAAATTTTGAAAAGACTCTGGCGTCATACGTACTCAAACAAAACTGCCTCCTCTTTTGTTTGAAATAAGGACAGAAATGAAAACGCACCGCGCTGTAAATAAATTTTGTCTATCTGCAGTTCTGCACCTGCATCTGATGGTATAGGAAGTTTAGCCAGGAACACTGGCCACTGGGGTTCCGTGTCCATTTGTTGCAGGACCACCCCATGTAAACCGATTCACGCACAGCCGCATGTGCATCTCAAGGAATTATGTCTTGGCTCATCTTAAACTTCGGATTTCCAAACATGAAAGACAAGGTTTTTTCGCCCTTCCCTTTCGAATTCTACCAACCGAAAAGAAAAAAAGAAAACGGCGATACGTATCCCTGTTGCTATGCTGCCTACGAGGAGGAGCACATTGTGAATCTGCTCATCACTTGCCACTGCAACCAGCATTGCTTCCAAGAGCACGTTTTAACTGTGTCTACTTACTATCTCCATTCATAAATACTTGTCAATGTCGGGAAAATAGTTCTCTCTCAGGAGGATATCCCTCATTTCTTACATATCATCTAAATAATTATTACAAACAAAAAAAGTAACAAGACATATTAATATGAGATATATCGCTTTGCAAATATGCAAATTAAAATTAAAATCCCCGCAAAAAAATATGCAAATTAAAATTTGATTTTTGCAAATTGTAACACAAATATTAAATACAAATGTGAATTTACGTTAACTGGTTTCAGTTTAATTTATTTTTTTGTTTACAACTCGTAGAAGTCAAATTTAATCTTATATGTTTATGGAGTTATATATCATATCTTTGTTAATTTTTTTTATTTTTTTATAATTATTTAAATGAATAAAAAAAATTAATGGACGTCTGCTCGAGTGATGAGTCCATTTCTGTCAATGTCGATTAGTACTGCTGCAGTTTCGACTATCATTACTTTGAAATTAGCGTAAGTCGATGAACGGAGTCGTATGGTTATACTACTACTTAACATACAACATACTCCAACAGTACCCTATATATTAAAACATTTACAAATTTATTCCCAAAATTGAAACGGTCAAAGTTTGAATGAGAGCAATACATTGGATGCTAAATTCATTTCCATGAAATGCTCCACGGCTTATATCAGATCCACAATTCCACATGGTGTATATAACATCACTGGATGCCTTGACCATAAATACTGTAGTAGACTGCCACCTTAGCTACGGAAACCTGGGCAAATTCTGCACCGATCGAGCTGAATTCGCCGTTGCGGATGAACGACGCGACCTGCCGTCCGACATCCCTCGGATACTCGATCGCAGTAGGCTCTACGCACGTACTAGTAGTAGTACCTACGCGCGCGCTGACGTACGGTATATCACTAGTTCACTACTACTCCTACTATTCTACAGTCAGCAAGCATGACCCTCAGAAATTCAATGTGTCTGTAGGTTGATCAGCGAGAGAATCACACGCGGTTACAGGCTAATTACCCTGAACCCTTGAGAGACAGTGTTACAGGCTACTGTTTTGTGATATTTGTTACGACCCGGGGAATACAGTGTCTTTTTCTGTTCCAAGCGTGAAGAAGAATAATTAGCGTAAAACAGTGTGATGATGAAGAGGAGGACAGCATTGATGATATTCAGAACAAATGTGACTGTCCTCCTGCTCCTGCAGAGTTTAATCTGAAGAGAAGAAGCGCACGCAGTAAAAAAAAGTAGTGCTCCTACTCGGCTGGACGACCCACTGACACGGTCAATGCTCAATGTTTTTCTTTGGCGTGGACTAGCAAAACACACATTTATAGCAGAAAGGAATCACAGTGGTAAACAGGAAAAATGCTTCTTATCGTAGGGGAGAAACTGGGATCCTTTTTAGCGCTGTATGGCTGCACATGCGGACAGCGCCACGCCATGTAGTACACCAGTAGCCGCTTAAATGAGCACGCATGATCTCAATTTATAACGCCAAAGAGCGGTCCAAGGATAAACTTTGCAGGAACACCGTTCTGTTCTTGCCCTCCTCCTGATGGCATCTGAACATGGCTTCCGTAGTACTAGTACGTATATATACTGTGTGTATCTCTTACTGGTCGCAGTGCTGTGAAAAACAGACAGTCAGTCTTTTGACCAATCCATCACATATCTCAATCGGGAGTTGGTACACACGTACAGTAACAGTAAACTTAAGTCTTCCTTTTCTCATAATCTTGCATGTGAGAGGTCGTTTCTTAATTCTCACACGTTAGTACTTAATTAATTAGTCATCCTGCTTTCGGACATGCCACATGGTCTTGGCGAGGTACGCCTATTATATTACCATGGCCAGCCAGCATCATCTCAGCATCTGTAAACTGTAAATTAGCTAGCCGAAGAGGCAAAAAGATTAATCCAGAGTACAGCACTGACCACGTACTCTGCAGGCTGCAGCCTGCAGGAGTGAGGCTCTGCCAACCTCTGAGATGGCTCAGCAGTCAGCAGCAGCAACCAGGGAATCCAATTTCGGACAGCAGACGGCGGCGCTGCATATGCTGCGGTGGTGCCGCGCTCTCGGCTTTTGAGACTTGCGCGTTTGTGAGCGGGCGGGCGGGCGAGGAGACGGCGCAACCACCGGCTGGATGGATCAGGGGCATATGCAACGACAGGGACACATGGTTTCAATCAATACGGGGAAAGAGACGTACCGCAATCTGTACGTACCGCGCGCGTAGTGCATGCAGCCGGGTAGGCAGCTACTAGCTGACGACGAAGGAAACGACACGCGCGCGGTGGCGATGGCGGAGGAGGGGTAGCCGTGTGGCCATGGCCGGCCGCGCGCGAGGCTCGTTTTCCGCCCGCGTTGAAGGCACCGCGCGCGTACTGATGTGTCGGTCCGTCGATCGTACGGTGCGTTTGTATGTGCTCGTGCCAACTGATGGAGGTGATATGCTAGAGCTGGTGTAATATTACCAGCTAAATTGTGGAACGTTGACGATTGTTCAATGACCGGATCCGTGGCGCAATGGTAGCGCGTCTGACTCCAGATCAGAAGGTTGCGTGTTCGATTCACGTCGGGTTCAAACCCCCGATCCATTATCCGGGTCCTTTTTTTTTCCGCTTTTTCCCCAGACTTGATCGTACCCTCACCCGCCCATACAACCTGGGCCCTTTCCCAACTTGAGGTACCTAATGGGCCTTCACCATATGCCCATATGACATGGGCCTTTAATCAATTTGACGTCCCAATGGGCCGTATAGTCTATGGTCCATCCTGCAATATGCATTTTTGTGCGCTTCGCCTCAAATCCTTGACCCTTTATTTAAGAGAATTTATTTTATTTTTAAAAAGATTTACAAAAATAAATTGCAGTTTCAAATTTTTACAAAAATATACTCCTCCCACCCTTTGATAGCGATCTATATGATGTGGCACGCCCTGCAAAATTGCCACAGCACGCCCCAAGCGCGGGGTGCCACATCCCATAGATCGCTATACCGTAGAGCGATTTATAAGCACCGCCCTATGATAGGACGTGAGGAGTATATTTCTGTAAAATTCTGAAATGAGAAATTATTCTTAAAATCTTTTAAAAAGTAAATATAAAAATTAAAAAAAATCTTTTGATCACCTCTTGGTTCGGCTCTCGCTCTCCCAAATTCTAAAACACAAATTCCATCAGCCTTTATGACATGTCTAAATTGGATCTACACGCGAATCATATTAGAATCATACTTTATCTTAAATTTCTTCCATTTTTCAAATTTCGTGTAACATGTCTTCTACTCCTGGCAAAATCATCTAGTAGAGGAATGGCAAATGCATGACAAGCACTTCATCAACCCCATTCGTTTTCTCTCTTTCTTTTTTCCGGCTTTAGATTTGATATTGTATAATCTTTTTCTATAATTTTCTTGGGATCAGGTATCTCCAGGTTTTGTCTGAACCCTGAAGCAACATCAATCTTCTATATCTGCCTATATTCGTCGCCTGCATGCTGAGAGCTATATACACGTACTTTTTCCGTGACGTATCCCGACTATGTTCAATGCATAGCTAGATGCCAATATATATATATTTAGACCAGATGCCAATATTAACCATGTAACCGTCTGCCAAGATCGTCAAGATCTATTACTGATAGAGCAATTAATCAGTGCTAGTACGAATTAAAGATTGTCCACAATTTTAATTTCAGCCACTTGCGATCGCCACAAAGAGTACGAAAAAGAATATTTAAGGAATTTAGTTCGTCTTGTAGAGCCTGAGGCTGATCTCGACATCCCAACAATATACGTACACATGATACCCCAAACCAAATTAAAGTTGGATATGGTTTGAGGTTAACTTCTGAATTCTTTTAAGAGTCCAAGGAGTTTATATTAGGTTTCATTAACCACTAAAAAGTAGGAGTAGTGACATATACTCCCTCCGTTTCAAAATGTTTGACACCGTTGACTTTTTAGTATGTGTTTAACCATTCGTCTTATTCAAAAAAATTTAAGTAATTATTTATTATTTTCATATTATTTGATTCATTGTTAAATATACTTTTGTGTACACATATGGTTTTACATATTTCACAATTTTTTTTAAATAAGACGAACGGTTAAACATGTGCTAAAAAGTCAACGGTGTCAAACATTTTGAAACGGAGGGAGTATATAATACTGCATTTGGTCTCGCTATGTAGGAGTATTTTACACCTTGCGTCAAATGGTTAACTAGGCACTTTGCACCAACCCCACTGACGAACCCGAGTGTGAAACTGTAGGATTGGATAATTAACTAGGAGACTTGATTTCTTCTAATTTCTAGTAGGGAATCATCCCCAGATATTCCACACACGTACATGGTCAGCTTCATCTCTCAATCATCACGATTAATTTAACAACGACTGATCGATCAATCGATCTGAGCTTGCACGTACACATCTGCATACAAACACGTGGAGCAGCACCGGACACACTACACAAATGTTACAAAACAAAAATGTCCCTTGATTAATATTCATGCATCGATCCCGGCACCTGATGCGTTTTCATTAGTTTAGTTTTAGACCGCAATCGACAGGTGAGAATAGAATTCAGGAGCCTATCATTCTATCAAGAAGGAAGGAGAGATGTCCAAAGATACGCGACACACTTAAACAAAAGCGAAGGGATATGCTAAGATAATCCCCTTTCCACTGCGCTACTTCAGAGCATAAATCTAGAAGCGACACACCTGTCGCTGCGTGATTTGGTCATACTGGTTCATGGTTTTTATTTCTTTTTAGGTTGGTGAACCAACTGCGCTTCCTGTTAGAATATAGCAGCAGCAGCAGTAGTACAGTACTGCAAGTTCTCCACCAAAAAAAAAAAAGAAAAAAAAAGTGTGTACTACTACAGTACTGCAGTACTAGCTTATATCTCTGAAAAATGATCAGCTGGAGCCTCTGCTGCTGCACTGCACGGCCGTCTATACATGTTGGACTGAAAGCAACAAGAGCTTTCGGATGATGGCACCAGCACCAGATCGAATGATCGATCACTAGACACTATAGTACTACATGCTTTGCCATGGCGACAAAACCAGATGACACGGAGCTACATCTCCATCTTGCTGGGCTCCACGCAAATCGGGACGAGTCATGGGGAAACCAGAGAATGGTGGAAATATGGCAATACTGTTTGTTTGGATGTTTCCATGCCGACTATGTGCGATGCAGCTGCAGCAGTGGTTGATCTTATATATATAATACTCCTATTCGATCATGTGTTGGGAGATCATATCGAAAGGGCCAAAGATGATGGAGCCTGCCATGGTATGATATCTTGTTGTTGCAAATGCTAGCTAGATAAGATATGTTAAGCTATTAGTTTTAAAATATAAGAATTTTTAGAATTTTCATGATGATTAAAGAAGTAGATGAAATTTAAAATGAAGCATGATATATATGATTATAATTGCTTTAAATAAGAAGAGTATGCGAAGAAATTAAAAGATTATTACGACTTGTTGACATGGGGTAGCAGGTGAAGATGTTGCTAAATTCTGAGAAAAGAAATTATTTTTAGAGGTTGCTATATTTTGATACGGACATACATAATGTGTAGTGAGCCAATGGATAAAAGCAGCAGGAAATGGGAGTGATTTGGCTGCTGTCTGACAGTATCAGAACCAAACACTAAGTATTAATGCAGGATTAGCCTTTCACAACCGCAAACTCAAGTTTTTAGGTTTCAGGCTGAGGTCACTCCTCTCTCACTCTGAGAGATCAGCTGCGTACCAAGAATTCTGCATCAAACAACTGTGCGATTTGACAGGATTGGCGTCGGTATTCGGCGCTCCAAACATGAGCATCTGAAAAGCACTAGTAACATTCACTTGGGTTCAAGAATATTTTCACAAACATACGGAATTAATCTACAGCATACACACTTCGTTCTCTTGTGATTTGTCTCTTTGGCGTACTAATTAATTATAATCAACAATACCAATATTACAACACAATCAATAATCGGTGGCCAACAGTACTAATAATAATGGCTAATGCAATTTTCAATGATGATGAATGAATATTTCAATAGGCCCAGAGGGACGCGTCGTGATGATCCATGCGTTGCTGCCGCGACGACGACGAGATCTCGCCGGGGTTCACCTCCGACGACGTGAGGCCGGTGTCCTGCGAGGCGCCGCTCAGCCTCTCCCTCTCGCCCTTGTTGCAATACCAGCCGCCGCCCATGAGCAGCTCGTGCACCATGCCCGCTCCTCCGGCGGCGGCGGCGTCCTGGACGTACTGCATCTGCAGGGCCTCCAAGAACGGCGAGGCGGAGGACATGGCGAGGTGATCCGCGGGATCGGCGGCGGGGAGGAGGTACGGTGTGTCCAGGAACTGGCCCTCCAGCGCGTTGGAGAAGCAGGTCACGTGCGCTGGCGGCGGCGCCGCCGCCGCGCCCGCGGTCGCTGACAGCGAGGTTGTGCCGGCGCCACCGCCGCCGCCAGACACGTCCATCAGCGGCGGGAGCGCGCACGGGGCGAGGCCGACGACGTCGTCCGCCATGGGCATCGACGACGGCCCAACGTCCGTCCCCGCGCCCGCGCCTCTCCTGCCGACCGCCGCCGCCGCCGCCGGCGCCAGCTCGAGGCTCTTCTTGAACACCCTGCACAGCACCCACTCCTGATCCTGCTGCACCCAACCAACCAGACCACCCATCAGATCGCGACATGGCACACACGAACGCGCGCGCGTGCAACCAAATCAACGCTCACGTACGTACCTTGGAATTGGCGGCGGCGTGCTTGCCGTGGATGCGGTACTCGTGCATGACCCATCCGGTCTTGCCGCCGCGGGGGGCCCTCCCGGTGTAGAAGACGAGCGTCTTCTTCATGCCGACGAGGGCCTTCCCCCTGAAGATCTCCCGGTCCTTCCCCGTCGCCTTCCAGTACCCGGACTCCGTCGCCCTGTTCGTCCTCAGCCCCGTCGGGTACTTCCGGTCCTTCACGCAGAAGAAGTACCACTCCTTCTCCCCCATCGTCGCCCTCGCTGCATGCGCACACGTACACACACATCTCTGATCACCCCCATAAATCACATGAAAAATCAAACCTAGTACTACTCACTAGCGATCATACGTACGCGCGACTGTTTGAGACTTGAGAGAGATCGAGAGTAGCTAGCTAAGCTTGGCTTACATGGCAGGTCCCATGGCTCGCACTTGTTGAGGTCGGCCTCTCCGACGGCGCGCGCGGCGAACCCGGCGGGGTCGGCGGCCTTGCGGAGGAGGTAGTGCGTGATGAGCTCCTCGTCGGTGGGGTGGAACCGGAAGCCCGGCGGCAGGTCCATCTCCTGCTGCTGCTGCTGCTGCATCATCTGCCGGTGGTGGTGCACGTCATGCTCCATCGTCGCAGCCACCACCACCTGCTGCTGCTGCCTGGCTAATCGCATCTACTAAACCTGACACATAAACGATCGAGCAATTCATCAGAAAAAACCAACACCAACCATTAAGCAAAGGACCCAGAATATTAACACAAACGAGTTAGCAATAGCGAGCTAGCTAGCAAGAACAAAGAAGAACGAGAAAAGGAGAGAGAGAGAGAGAGAGAGAGAGAGAGAGAGGATATTTGCTAACCTTTTAGACTAGATCGACGAGAGAAGTGATGAAGTGGTTAAGGGGGAAATTAAAACAAAAGCTGAGGGGTTGGTTCATGGTGGGGGCTTAAATACTACTGGAAGCACTATTGATTTTTTTGATGGAAAGAGACGTGGCAATCAAGGAACAAACAGCCATTGTGCACACCAGCCGGCAGCTTGCAAGGGGGGTTGGTTTGATCCGCTAAATTAACCTTTTTGACTTACAGGGACTAGCTACTTTTACCTTAGCTCATCATCACTCAGTTCAATAACTACTTATTAGACAAAATCAATATTGGAAAGTGGTTACCCTTTTTGCAAGGAGTTCCCTGTATGTGGTAATATCTTCCAGTCCATTTTTTACTTTTGGGAATATGAAAAAAAAATAGATAATAGAAATGGATTACATCTCCGGCTTCTGTCATAAGACACACAGCCATAAGTTTAATAATAATAAAAAGATAAGAATATGCAAAAGATTTATATGTCATTTGCACGCATACGTATATAAATGATGGTAAAACTACTCATATACGTACTGCCCTACTCGTAGTGTCTGGTCGAAAAATAACTTAGCATAGGTCACCAAGCCAACCGAACAGATACCGCAGGATATACCACAAAATGAGTGATGCTCGCACTCGCAGGCACCAATGCAAGTAGCCACATGGAGCAACACCGCATCACACCATTTTTTTTTAAAAAAAATACCCTTCACTTATTTTTTTTAAATTTGAATAATTTGGTCACGTCAATTAGACTAATATGACGAAACATTGTTTGCTACATCAATTTGGCTTACGTAGCAACGTTGTTTCATCGTGCCCTAGCAACACCCGAGTGACAAGATAAAACCGTCACATCAATTGCGTGTGATGTGATAATATTGTTTCATCACGTCAGGTAAAGTGGCACGTTCAAAAGGTTTCAAATTTAGAAATGAGTATTGTTTGTTTTTAAAATTAAAAATTTAAAGAGTTCAATTTTTTTTTAAAAAAATCACATCTGGTAGCTAGTTAAACACGGGTGCATGGGCGCATGGCGGATTGGCGGAATGGGTGGGTCCGTGGGTAGGTTGCCGCCTGCCGGCTAGCTTACAGCTAGCGTCGTATGGCACCGCGCACACGCACGCATCCAAACTCCAAGGGAAATCAGTTCATGGTCGTCCCGGCCTCGTCAGATTTATCGAACCCGTGGCCTGCAGATCGAGTTTGGGGCATCGGTCGATCTGGCGTGATCCGGGGCTACTAGATAATCAGGAATAATATATTCTGCATGCTCGTCGTCTCCTGGATCCATCGATTGAACAGACACGTACGGTCTCATCATACGGTGGCTGCTATAGCTAGCTAGCAGCAGTCACGCCAGCGAGGATCAGAGTCTTTTGGCGAAGTTACCGTGCAATATACCACACTGTCAGTCATGACATGGATATATATAGATTCTAACTTGACTCATTTCTCGCTTTTGTTTAACCAAACTTCTGCCCGTGTCTCTCGATCGTTTTGTATTTGTTTGTAATAACAGGGTACGCGAAGAAGAAACGTACACCACATGGTTAAAATATAGTACTGCATCCCAGTGGACTATCTAATGCTGTAGAGGTAAATTAAATCTACAAAACCGCAGAATTAGAGTTCTCTTAGATGAAGAGACCAAGGACGATCTAATTTGTCATCCTTATCTCTTAAACAACAGAATCCGAATTCTATACGCATTTATCCGCGAGTAAATATGGGCAATGGAATACTGTGGGCACAATAACCACACTATGGGTACGGTGGCTAGCTCCACGTACACATCTAGCTACCAAACTGATCCAGACTTTCAATCCGGATTAATTGTTTGACCTGCAAAATCAACATTGTAGCTAAGTACTGGAGTAGTGTTACCTGTGTCTGGCCGGCCTTGAAAAAAAAGAAATCAAACATTTCTAGATAGGAATTCGAAGGTCATGTATTCAAACAAGAGATGAATAGTAGTCCACTCTTGTGTATCCAAAGTAGCACGTTTTCAAGGACAAGAGATTAATTGCACCCAGTCGTGCACCGCTAGCTCCACGTACGTAATTAAGGCAGCATGCAGACTATAGCTACTCCCTCCGTTTCAAAATATTTGACACCGTTGACTTTTTGGCACATGTTTAACCGTTCGTCTTATTAAAAAAAATTATGAAATATGTAAAACTACATGTGTACATGAAAATATATTTAACAATGAATTAAATGATATGAAAAGAATAAATAATTACTTAAATTTTTTGAATAAGACGAATGGTCAAATACGTACTAAAAAGTCAACGGTGTCAAACATTTTAAAAAGTTAACGGTGTCAAACATTTTGAAATGGAGGGAGTATTTTCTAAGTTGACATGGCTTGGTTGCTAGTTGCTACTAGTTGGTCAGTTCGTCGTAAACAATGTTAAAGCCACAGCTTCCTTTCGTACTCACGTATACAGTGTGTGGAAGTGGAACTGGAACGTGCATGCCGCTGGAACGATCGGGATTGATTAGTGCGAACATACGTGGATGTCTTATCATAGCTGAGTCATCAACCGTAATTAACGTGAAAGGTTACGAAGTAGTGACAGCAAGAACTACTTCTTTCATCCCACAAAAGATAATTATTACATATATCTACATTTATATTACTAAAATATGCAATATTTTGTATTATGTTTATTTTTATAGAACAGAAAAAAGTACTAGTTGTCATGCCCACACGCGCGGTACAAACGAAGAGCACAATTAAACTTGCTGCAGCCAGTGTCACTGTGTACATAGACAAGCTAGCAATATACTCTCTCCGTCTGTTCAAATTTATTATACTAGGATATATCATAACCACCTAAAATTTTTTATGTTATGGGAAGGAGGGAGTATTAACACTGGTCCTTGTACATAGACGAGCTAACAATATACTAACTGCCAAGCGTAGGTTGAAAAAATATCTCCGGTGATCACGACTAATTAATCATCGATATTTGCAAGAGATATGGACGGATCCATGCTTAATTAGCTTGTTTGGGCCTTTCTGACCACGGGGATACGGTGATGGGGATGCAGATGCATATGGGATATTGCGGTGAGCGATGGAACACGAACACCGGTCACTGTAGCACGTACCGCCTCTTCTCCGGTCCTCGCCATCCGTCTACAGTACACACGTCCCCGTCTTTGGTGGCTTGGTGCGGTCCCTTTCCTTTGGCTACCCAACATTTCAACGCGCGCATCCATCTAGCTAGCCGCGTAGTACGTAGTAGCTGCCAATGTGCGCGACGGCGACGCGTACGTACGTGCACGCGTACTCCTGCCACGGAAGCACGTACGCGCGCCGCGCGCGTGTGACGTGTGTGCCGCGCGCGGGTGTGCGTGCGTGGGCGTGGGCGTGGGCGTGGGCCGTGGGTGGGGAGGGGTGGCTGGTTTTATTGGTGGATGCATGGTGGCTAGCTAGGCGCGCGCGCGGGTGGGCGGGCGGATGCCGGCGTACGTGCGTGGTCGCGCAATCTCTCGCGATCGATAGCGTCTTTTTCCGTGCGGGACGGCGACGTGAGGGGCAGGACGGCGGACGGCCGATCGATCGTGCGAGCTAGCGCGCGCCCGCGTTGCGTTGCGTAAGTAGGCACGTACGTACGTGTCGCGACGGGCGCGGCGCACAGGTGTCCTCTTGGATGCGTGTAACGATCGCGTACGTACGTGCAGCACGAGGGGCCCTGCACGATCGGCCGGCCGAGTCGGGACGTACGTACGTGAGCCGCATGCAGGTAGGTCACGTAAGTGCACTGTGCACTTGCAGCTGGCTAAGCACGACGTAGCGTACCGTACGTGTAGCTCTCATGTATCACGTTGTCACGTTGATTAGCCACATGTGTGTTACATACGGCGGCCCTGGCTCGCGGCCACGCGTTAGCTCAGGGCATCTCTGATTGCGTGACGTCAGTTTTTCTTCTTTTCTTTAGTTCGGTCACATTTTTAATTTAACTGTATTTGTTATATCCGTATCAAGGTACAACAACTAGACAATAGATACGTCAATATTAAATTTAACATGGCATCGTATAGACGTCCATGTAAAACCAGGCGTGGCCTCTGCTTGGTTCGATCGACGACGACGGGATCTCGTGGAGCTTAATTACTTGGCACGGCATGAACCCGACACGATTGATGATCACCGTCTTATACAGTTATACGTACTGGGTACGTGCTGGTACGATCTTGCTCGATTAATGAATGTTATCTACTTCCATTAATTTATATTGCTCCTTGTTTTCTTCTCCTCTTGATATTATATATACTGTAGATTTGTACTCTAGTGTCGATCGGGAAGCAAAATAAACTAAGTTTCGTTGCCACGTACCCATGCTAGATTGGTCTCGACCACACTTTGGACACCGATATCTATGATCATGGTGATTAGGACCCGTTACTTTCTTTTTTTGAGATGAGATTAAGACCGCCATTTCCATTCTCATAAAGCGGTCGTGCATGCCTTCATGATTTCTTAGCAGTTAATTAATACAGCCTCTCGAACTCTCACACAGCACCTTAATTAATTCTCGCCGTGTTTAGCTGTGCCTATCAGTTTCGGCTCATCTCGATCGAGCCAACTGCGGTTTTTACATGTTGCCGTCTCATCTCATCATTCGCGTCCAATGCATGTTTCGCTGTGACGACGCGACCAGCAATAAATCGAGGTCAAACGAATCATCATCAGAGAGAGAGAGAGAGAGAGAGAGAGAGAGATTCCCGTAGAGCAACACAAATTGTGACATGTGATCGATCGATCGGTCGAGAGATCAATCGATGCATGGGTGCTTTCTCTGCCGTCACGATCAGAATCAGTAGTCGATCTCATGGCATGCATGATGCAGAGCCAGTAAGGCTAGCCAGGATCGATCATAGATATCGATCTCCAACGAGATCGTTCTTGAGCATTGAAACTCTGAAGCTCTGAAAGCACACACAGTAGCAAACTTAATTAGCTAAGACCTTTTTCAAAGGTAGTACTAGCAAATTAGGTGTTGGTGGGTTGCATTTTTGACTCGCGATCGATCCGATTCTTTGCTTGCCATCTCACGCCTCTCTCTCACGCTTGCCTTGGCCAACGCAGAGTTGCAGGCAAAGAAGCTAAGCTATCGATATGCAGAGAAAGCTTA